TTGTGCGTCTTGAAACACCGGAACATCGTGTCGGAAAAGATTCTCTGATATTTGCTTTGCGAGTTCTATCAACGAGGGGATTATATCGGGCTTTGTACAAAAAATCGTTTACAGTTAGTTAATATGTTTACATATACAAATGAAACGGTTTTTTTGTTTTTTTGTTTTTTAACTTCAGTGGTATTTTTGTAATTATCATGTTATTGATAATTATTCCGCTTTTATCAGGATTATAAGCATGAGCAACATTAGCATAATTAAAATCATCATCATCATTATCATCATCGTATATTATTATCATTGTTATTATTGTTATTGTTAATATTGTTGTTATCATCATTATTATTTCTTAATTATAATTATGATACTAACTTATTATCATTATCATCATTTTTATTGCTATTGTTATGATTTCTTAGCTGAATTGTAGTGTATTGACAGTCGTACATGATGTATTTTTGATTTGATTTTTATCAGTATTCCACTTTATTTTCCTATCTCATTATTTATGTATTGTGTTCGTTTATTTTTCTATTTGTTTTTTGTTGGACTATCTATATTTCGTTCTTATTTTTTTTATCTATTTTATTCCATTTCATTTCCTTCGTTTGTTTACAAGTACATTGGCTACAAATTAGCTCAGACAACACATTTATTCTGAATATTTCTTCTTCAAACATGTATAAGAATTGATCTTTACCTTAATGGACGAAATAGGAATTCAAGTAACATCTTCCCTGGCTTGTTATATTATCATCAATTTTAATCGWTATTTACCGATTATTCTTCGTTTATAGCAAAATCCTTTCTTTCCACAAGATTTCATTGTCAAACTSCCATTTCACATGCAATTAAAATATAAGCCTATAGAAAAATCACGAAAGTGATTTCCGCAAGGAAGAAATACGCTTAACAGCCACGGAAAACCAACGAATATATCACGCTGTGTGTAAGTTAAATTTACAACGATTTCCAATAAACTTAATTTCCTGAATTGATTTTCACAGAAGCTGCAGTAGTAACAAATCAACCTTTGTAGATAAGCAATTGGAATGAGCGCGAAAATTTAACATATAATACCGCACGTTCACGGTTGTCCGAGATGTATTACGTTTTACGTAAGAATATTGCACGTAYACTCCTAACGTAGGACTTATATATACGCATGAATGTCGCGTTTTCACGTTTAACAGAAAAGAACTCATTTCATGGATGTGATTTCGCGTCAAATTAATTTTGACACACTTTGAACGCCCACTCGACACGAGTCTTGTTGATAGTAAATAACAAGCATTTGAATTGAGTGAAACGCGATCTAGAAGTGCTTTTGGTATTTACTCTTAAAGTGTGGAAATAGGTATTTTCAATCACAAMAAAGACTTCAATCGTTTTTCCTTAGTATAATACGACGGATCTCCATTTCTTAAATCCAAGTTTTCTTCACTCTTTGATAATCTTAATCTTGAGCGATCGATCTGAAGCTATTTTAGAAAGGGAAAGAGCTTTCGTAAATCAATTCTCGTTAATCTTGGTTTTCTTTTTAGAATGTATTGTGAATGACAGCTTTCATTAGATAGGATTATACAAAAGAAAAAGGAAAATGCTTTTTTTCTTTTTGTACTGATGGTAATCATCTGATCGTCCTCTTATCCCTTCATGCATGTATTATGTATATGTTTTTCAATACATTTCAATTTTATTTCTTTTTTTTCTTTATTCCTTTCTTTCCCTCTCCACTCGTCTAATGACAATAAGTTATACTTATGGTAAACTCTCAAACCTGAGGAAATATTGATAAGAGTATGTAGGGAAAAAAGAATGACTTCTCGAGGTTGAGGCCGCYATTTTGTAYTCATACTGCCCGAGGGATGCCCGARGACAAACGCTTGGATTTCATGAAAAAAACATGCATTGCTCATATTTTCTTGCGTGGTTTTGCTAGTTTTCAATTTTCAATTAGTTTAAAAACCAAGCAAGGAACGGCAATATTCTTTTTCTCTTAAAAATTATTTGTTTTTGTTATTTGAATCATATAACGCTTTCTCAAAGCTTTTCAGCGTCTAAATTTCGTGAGAAATTCCCCACAGGCAGCACGTAATTTTTCTCAGAAAACAACAGAGTCCAAAATGGAGGGTGCATGCCATAATTGGGAGTTTAACGCGACTCTATCTTTCATGTAGAGCAAAGCACATATATAGTCTTTACACCATGTTAGTCTGCTAAAGCTCTAAATACTCAGAGAGACTGTATTTTATGTACATTGAATGCGTTAGATAATAAAGGAGGGAGTGGAGAACTGGACCTTAGGCCATACATGCATAATAAATAACTAAAAAAAAGCCTTTCGTTCGAAATGAATATGTAATTCTGAAGCTGTAAAACACATCCTTTTATTTTCAACTTTTACTAAATTCTGAATTATGATTTGCTCATAAATGTATAATTGAAATTATATGATCGGCGATCAATACCACTTTATCTTGGCATCCATTTAAGAGCATYGTTTGCCACGTGTTTGTGGCTCACGTGCATTCGAGAAACTTTGCTCGATTTTCTCACAAAAAATCGCCATCACTTACTTTAAACCAATCAGAAAGCAACTTTCAGTAACTTAAACAAAACGAACGACCGCAATGATTCTCGGATGCAAATGGACCTTGAAAGAATTTTTAAGAAAAACTGACATCTTAACAAGATGAAAAGCAACAGGCGTTGCTTAAAAAAAATGCGTAGTAACTTATTTACAGAGAATTCTCCTACTGTACTATCTATCCGTTGTAGCTTTCAGCTTTGCCCTTTATCTTAACAAAGCTATTAACTCATGATCTTAACTTCAGTCAATGCTGTAGTCTTCTTTGCTATTGTTTCAACTCTTCATCTTCACAACCCTTCGGGCTCTCTTCTTTGTAACCTTGTCATATCTTACTTTGAAGTGGGAATCATTGTCCAGTCATTGACGTTAGCAATTAACTGGAATTGAAACTGGAAAGTACCAATATACCTATCGATCCTTCTAGAAATTCATTGGTGAAGTCTTYTTACCACGCAAATGAGAAAAAGGAAGACCCCTTCACAACTAAAACAAGAATCAAAAATATAGACTCTCAATGTATTTGTTAATGGTTTTCTTTACCAATCACTAGCTTCCTGATAAGTCCACGTACAATATTCACATCCAATATGTGACCTTTTATTTGAATATAAACGGATATTCCCCACTCAATCGCCGGCCAATTAATCACAAAATCTATACTCGAATATGATATAAGAAACGACTTGCAAACATTGCACAAACACTTGGTGCCATGGCTTTTATCTCGTTTTTATGTGTTGTAAATTCAGCGTTAGCATTGTCTTCAATCTTAAGCAATGCTGTCGTGTTCTTCGCCATCGCTGCAACGCCTCGTCTTTACAATCCCGCTAATATTCTTCTATGCAGCCTCACAATATCAGACTTTGGAATTGGTTTTTTCGTGCAGCCGCTATTTGTAGTGTACCTTRTTGGATATCGCGTCCAAATCATGGAGATTCTTGTTTTKCTTAGCATTTACTTTGCGGGAACTTCAATGGCGACCATGACCAGTCTAGCTATAGATCGATGTTTGGCTCTGTACTTTCATCTTCGATATAGTACCATTGTAACGACGAAAAAGACAGTAATTTTGCTATGTGTTATCTGGCTGTCAGTTGCTYTGTGCCTTCCCATTTTKAAMTCGGTAAATTATATTGCACAAGTTGTGTTKCTGTCCATAGCTGCAATTGGATTGGTGTTGATATCTGTAACATGTTATGCTATAATATATCGTATCACGAGSAGGCATAAACGGCAAATTCAAGCGCAAAGGRAAGTMTTTAATGTTCCCGCCATTCGATCTGGTCGTGCTCTTGTCACCATGTTTTACATACATAGTTTCTTTGTAATAACTGGACTGCCCTTTGTCATCGTACTGATGTATATGGTCAATCAAGAGCATTTAGTTTATAATTCAAGCGATGTATTTTGGACWGGTACMCTGGTTTACGTCAATTCTACTGCYAATCCATACTTATACTGCTGGCGGATGAAGGATATAAGAAARTCTGTTAAGAAAGTTCTATCTAAAGTGAAATGCACCTTAAATATCAAGCAAACACAGTAGGACTTCGGCTTCTTCGAGTGCTGTCTACTGCGCTGGTTGTTTAGTTACTGATAAAAATATTTTCTTTCATTTCCAGCAAGTAGACGTTGACCGATGTAAACTAACCTCTCAGAACTTAAGCCTCTTCAACAGCTGGTATTGTCTCGGCTCTTGTCTACTTTTTCTATCCCATATTTTTTTCATTTTTCTCTTTGTTTGTTTGTTTTTTTTTTTCATTTTAGATTTGGTGATTAAGATGGCACACACGTTTGTTACCTGCATTTTTCCACAGTACCAGTATTTCTATTTTTCTCATGAGAAATGTTCTGTAGTGGTCCCATCTTTTATTCTCATTCTCAATTGTTTCTTCTTCTTCGACGACATGTTCTTTTCTCCATTCTTGTCGTCTTCTTCATTTTCTTCTACAGTTGTCTTCCTATTTATGATTTCTTTTGTTCGTGAGCCATTATTGAAATAAATTGGAAGTATAAATTGATTTGAAAATGAGGACAATACAAGTAATAAGCTTTATTTTTATAGGCAGAACCTCGTAAGAAGACTTTTTTTTATTTTTTATCTTATAATACAGTATTGCTGTTTGCTGTTTTTTACAGTAAGCTGAATAAGTTTGCCTTTTTGTATTTTGACAGATATTACATTTATCATTGCCGACTCATCGCAATTTCATTTAAAATGAGATCTTATTAAAAACTCGATTCAGTATTATTAAGTCTTTGGCAATTGTAAGTCCTTGATGTTTGCTCTTCACAGCTGATACAACAAAAAATGTAGTTTAATTACAAATTTAAAACAAAAACACTTGTAGTGTTATCCTAATACATAAAATTGTGACARCTCTTTGAAGTGGTACGTTTTTAAATGAAAAAGCTCTTCATTGTTTGGTAGCGTTGCGTTTTCTAGGGCTAGTACACAAGCCGCATCAAATCCAGCATGATCTTTATATAYGCGTTGTGCTTCATCAACGCTCTYTTAGCTTCCACTGCCATTATCGTCAATGCTGTAGTGTTCTTTGCTATAGTYTCAACTCCACATCTTCACAAGCCTTCCAATATTCTTCTGTGCAGTCTCACAGTGTCAGACTTTGGCGTTGGCTCCATTGTGCAGCCAGTTTTTATATTCTATCTATTGGGTTATCGAARGCTTCTTCTAARTGCATTTGGACTCTCAGCGGTYTTCTTCACGGGTGTGTCTTTCGTCACCATGACACTCCTCGCAATTGATCGCGTCCTTGCTCTACAGCTTCACCTGCGTTATAACGTTATGGTGACAGTAAAAAGAACTCTGCTTCTCCTCGCGATGATTTGGATAAACTCTTCGTTATTACTGGTACAGTTCCAGAAAGGAAATTATTTCGTCTCGACGGGAATAATTGTTRTATGTTCAATCAAAGGCTGCACGATAACATCGATATGTTACTTCAAAATTATTCGCACAGTCCGACGACATAAACGGCAAATTCAAACCCAAATGCAGGTGTTCAATATCCCYGTCATTAAACAAAATCGTTCTCTCATCACTATGTTTATAATTCATGCGATTTTCGTTGCTTGTCTCCTGCCTTTGGTCGTCACATTGTTGCATATAAGTTTCACGAGCGACGACCAAGTAAAGGATGTTTATTCTTCAAGCAATATTTTTTGGGCGTCGACGCTCGTCTTAATGAACTCGAGCGTCAATCCGTGTGTTTATCTCTCGAGGATRAGAGGCTTAAGATGCGCTGTGAAGAAGCTTCTTGACAAGTTTTAAAGGTTTTGAAATGAACTGCACATAATAATAGCTACCAGACATACTTCTTGGGTAACATCGTTGCTTTCTGTAAAAGATAAACATCGTCGCTACAGTTATCTTTTTTTAAATCTGGAACTGGTATTAGAAACACCGACGCAGCTCACACTAGTTTACCGCTAGTTCCCACCATTTTGGTATTAGACTTGTCTGTGATACCTGCGGAGGAGGATATGACACGACAGATGAAGGACATCCTCGGAAATCCAAGGGCCTTTTGAGTGGTGGCCGTGGGCGACTGGACACAATGAAAACCATAAGCTCAGAGAATTGATTGAACATGGAAAGAGTCAGAGTTGCATTGCATGTATGTAACCATTTTACCTACAAAGATAGATGAGTTCTTGATGARTTGGGGCTATCAATCAAAATCAACAACAACAGCCATAAACACCATTGAATTAAAACTATTTTCTTCGCCATTAATCGAATGCTGACTAAATGTCACTTATAYAAATTTAGAGCATGGATGTTATAGTGAACTGAACTATGATTCCTGTTAAACGTTTAGGAAGCTGTTTTCATCAAGCGTGAACCTCGGTCTTTTTGAACTGATTTTTTCATAACCATAGTTATGAACGCCCTAACTTTAAGAAGCTGCCGAATGGCTATGACTTTGTATGTTTGAACTTTACGTTGGCTAAATTTGTACTTTATATGTCTTGATATGTCTGTAACTTCATCAATACGTATTAAACCTGACCTTTCGGTGCGTTTTCCCCTCCCAACAYAAGTCCCATGATATAAAAAGCTACCGCAATCTTGTTAACGCACGAGRCCATCTATTCATTGACCTAAAATAATCGTTTGACTAAATTTATCCCTTTTTGCTTATAAAAGACCCTTTCAAGCAAATTTAATGAAGTCTTGTTTTCCTTCAAGAAGCCAGATGCAACGATTCCCATCAGAACKGAGTTCTTGATGTACCTTTTGTTATTTATAACGTTAATCAATAGTAAACAAGCACTTGTGTGGGTGGTGTGGGCTTTTGATTGACATCTCCGTTATTTGTTTATGATTTTTTATATTTTTAGTTTATTACWGTTTGTAAACCACTTTTATCAAGGACCAGGGGTGCTCGAGAGTGGAATAAAAACAGGTTTATTGTGACAAGGTTTTGACGAATTCACATCGTCCTCGACATGAAATCATTCATGAASAAAACGGAAGTTTGAATACCATATTTTCAATTCTTATTAAAATAACTTTACGTAGATCGACTTAATTAAGTGAATGTTGTCAGATTATTTTCACATGCTACCAGTATAAGTCAATATAGGCTTACATGATTTCTTTCCCGATATTATTGGATATTAATAATAAATTAATAATCGGAGTCAGTTGTGTAGGCGGGCGTCAGCGACGTCTGGTCTTGGAAATCATTTAAAACTGTTAAAACTGTATTTGAAGAACCATTTTTTATAATAAAGGAATCACATCCGTAATCGTCGGGAAAAAATATTGAACTATCCAAATCGGTCACATTGAAATCATATGGTAATTTAGTACTTTACCAGTCTACTAATGACCAATCTGTAGAAGTATCTCCCAGTTYTCTGACGTCCAGAATGAGTGTTGCGGTAACGGAAAAAARAGAAACAGAAACCAAACAAAAGGAGTTGATTTCGATTCAATAATGCTGCATTAGCATTAACACTTACAACTAAAACGGCCGCCATCTTGAATATATTACGAAAATATGGGATGATAAGGGATGCAAAATGGGATGATAAGGGATGCAAAATGGGATGATAAGGGATGCAAAATGGGATGATAAGGGATGCAAAATGGGATGATAAGGGATGCAAATTACAAAGAATCAATCATGAGAGTCGCGTATGGCTTTTTGGCCTTCGTGCCTCAATAGGGTACACAATTGAACTACAGTTGTTTTGAATAGAGCGGATTTCGTATGAGTGGGACACCGTTACCGCACGGTTACCGCACAGTTACCGGACCTGGCTTGCACAATTTCAGTGAACCAATGGGGCACTAGAATTTGGTTACAGTACGATTACGGTCACCGTACAGTACCGTCCGTTTCYCACTCATACGAAATCCGCTCTAAGGGTGTTCTTTCTATGTTTTTCATGTCTTACACATAGACTACAAAACAATGTCATATTGACATTTCTTATATAACCCTTCGCATTGTAAAGCGCATATGAACTTGTGGATATTTGCGCTATATAAATATCTCATTATTATTATTATTATTATTATTCTTACGGGAGCACTACTTGGTTTATGTCTTGTATAAGGGTCGACATGTCTTCAATCTTGAATAGGGTAAGGAATTTTACGAGTTTTGCTGTCTTGAATAGAGTCAGGGTTTACCAGTAAAAACGCCTCCGTTCGAATCTGGATCAAGTACCCCCTCCCCCACACCGGATTGTGTGCTTTTGTAACCTGGACATAACATGATTTCTTCCGGATAATTCAAGGAGACTATAGTAACAACGTCTGTCTAGCTCTCTATCTTTTCCTTTAAACTAAAACTGTGAACACAGGAAGTTTATTTGTTACGACACTTTTCCAGTTAACATATCAARTGATTTGATAATGTTGCGGGAATTTCTCAATAAGCGAAAAAAAAAAACAATTTGGCGATAGAATTACTGATTGTAGTTTCACATATTGATTGGATTAGCGAAACGTGCGGAAATTATATTGAATTTGTTGCTCAATCTGTTAGATTCCACAAGCACTACAGGCTCATCAGTGCCAGTCCTTTCTTTCTAATTTTCCCTCTAAATGTCACACTAACGTCCAGATTTTATTTCACARTCGTTTGATATAACTGTACAAATGTATAGTCGAACTCATTGACGTACTCGATATTGTCCACTTACAATTCTTATCTACCTGCTGGAGATAGTCGCGAAATAATAAGTACAGGTTTTCCACTGTATTACAACACTTAACGAATTTAAATTGGAMGTCTTGGACGTGATCTAATAAGAACACAATATAATAATCAATCTAAATTATCTTTTCATCCAGACACCTTGAAATGATTAATTAACAGGTTTTCTTACTATTAGTGCCGTAGAACGTGATGTTGGTTATTACAACGAGATAGCGTGTCTGCACATCGCGGGTCAAAGTGGAAATGCAGAATGTGTTGATCGAAAGAACCGCAAAATATGCATCAAAATGTGTTGTTCTTGCTAATGAAACGAGGACACGTTTTATAGTGTCGACGAGGACACATGTTTTGAGAGCCACATCAATGATAAAGAACTACTTATGCTTTATAAACGAAGCGCTCTGACGGCTTTCAAAAAGATAATCAAATAATCCAATTTTTATTATGATTATCCTTAAAAAGTAAGAAGGGGTTTTATGGAATTAATTGGACGAAGCTTGTTTACATAAGGCATAAACATAAACATAACTCATCCCGCGAACGTGGCGTGTTTTCACAAGAGGTATATATCTAATGAGCACGAAAATCTTGCGACATCCATGTGCAACCATACTAGAATACAATTACATAAACCTGAYCCATAGGATTTCGCTTACGTTAGTGTTATGTCATTACTTGTGAATATACGTTAYCCTAAGCTATTGAGAAAAACAAAAAMCCMMYTWARGGRSKTWWWRGSMRGKKRAAA